CGCGGCCGCCGTGCCCGGGGGAGGTCTCGGCTTTGGTTTCTAAACCAAAGCGAGTACTTCCAGGTGCGAGTGCACACCCGTCGGGGAGCGCTGCCTCCCGCCTGCCCCGTCCCAAAACGGGACCAACAGAAAACTCCGGTCACTCCAGCAGAGTCTGGCAGCTGCCCGCCGTGTCCACCGATGTTCCTTTTAATGTCATTAAAAAAGTATTAGCAGGGAATTGCGGGGTTTCTGTGTTGGAATTCGTCCCCAGCGACTTCAAAAAATGTTCAGGAATCGTGTAAAGTACTCAAAAGAGGCAATGGCAGTTTGTCTGTTATAATTCGTGCTTTGAAAGAAATTCCTAGGCAGTTACTTTGGAAGATTGAAGTGCATCTGAGTGGCCATTAAACCTCCATGACACATACAATGTTGACTTCTACCTACATCAATAATCTGCTCCAGTCTCGTAATACTCCTTCAAGATGAACTATGGAGAGGCTATGAACACAGGCTATGATTCACAGCTTAGTAACGCTGCAGAAAGGACAACAGCAGCGTTTGGAGCTGCCGTGGCTTTGACCGAGGAGCGCAAGTTCAGGGATCGAGCATGTGTTCTGCTGGAAAGTGGAAGGGTTTCCAGGAGATGAGCATGGCTCCACTTATTTGCAGCATTGCTGGGATCAGGATTTCAAAACCGCTGTTGGAGGGGATGCGGACACCTGAGGGTACCCGAGAGGTGGTGGTTGATGGCAACTGCAAAGGAAAGTTCTTACAGAGCTGTGTTGTGTGTTACCAGACATGGGGCCAAAGAGCAGCTGTTAATGTTTACATTTCTTGTTTTTCTATAGGTGAATGAAGCGCTTCTTCCTGGCCTCATCTGGACTAAGCCACCATCATCTTTCAAAGACTTGGCACCTTCACTGTCTTTTCTGCAGCACTCATCTGGTATCTACTGATGCAAAGGTATGCAAACATAAAGGGTGAATATACACCCTGACGACTGCAGCTTTTGCTTCTGGAGCAGAACATGGGATGTTTACAGCTCAGATGAGCAATTTAAGTTCTCCATTGTCAGAGGGCTTGAACTTCTCTTCTGAGTAAGCCCAACCACTCCTGCTTGTCTAAAAACCAACAATGTTTAACATGAAAAATTACTGAAGAATTTTACCATTTAAATATCTACCGGTTACTACTCTTTGCTTCGTTGCAATTTCTTGAGAACTTCTTCATGTTGTTCTGAACTAAATCTAACCCTTTGCCCAGGTATTGCTGAGTGAAAGTGCCACTCAGGCTCGGGGCAGGAAGTTGGAAGAATAGCAGAATAAATTGTTCCTCTGTACGTGTGGCTGAGCAAACAGAGAGATGGGTGTTCTGATACTGTTTTGACTTTTTTGGACTTAATATGCAAAGAAGTGGTTTAAGTAGGTACAATTTTCCCATCAAAATTATAAATAAACCCAAATTCCTGAAGGGCTGACACTGACTCACTCTGTATTATTGCACGGTCCGTAGTCACAGCAGCAACTTTCAGGTCTTTAAGATCTGTTCAGCAGGTTCTGGCTGACAGCTTCTAGCTGCAGGTGCTCATCGTCTGTAGGCCTATCACATGTTGTGCACACGTGACAGTAGCTTGCTAGCTCAAACACACCCTCATATTTTGACTCACAAGACTAGAATTTGTTAAAAAATGGCAACAGAATTTTTAAACAAACCTGTAATGCTGAATTGCATAGAGGTAGGTGACAAGGAGCCCCCGTGACTGACAGCTGGGGCTGCCCCAGCAAAGGGGCTCACAAGAGACCCTCAAACTCCAGAGACAGAAAGCAAGCAGCAAGGGTTTGTTCAGAGCATCACCAGCTCCCTCTGGGATTCACGTGCACATCCTGTCCCATTCCACATTGCTTGCCCATTCAGCGCCCAGCCCTGCCCCAGCTCCCCAGGTTTGAGGAACCTTGTGCGTGGCTTCGTCAGAGGAAGGTGCATGGGTGTGATGGGGAAGGCAGTCATCTGGCTCCCTCAGACTGCATTTACTTGATTTCAATGGTGCACTGAAACATTAGTTTCATCTGGACTTGGTAACAATGGATAACTAGAACTCAAGATTTTATCTTCAAAACATCCTCTCTGGGGTATATTTGTTTTCACATCACCTATTCATCACAGCCAGAGGGACTCTGTACCCATTCAATTTGTAGCCAAAATGTACTGTAGGCTATGGAACAAGGGTGAATCCTGCTCTAAAATGCTGTGAAATACTTGCGTTTAGTTTTTGCAATTTTGTAAGAATTCAAAATTAATGATTCCCTTCAGAAGAAAATCTTTCCATTTATCCCAACTGTCTCAGCATGACTGGGCTAGAGTGTCTGGAATATTCTTTTTGTCCCATTTGCAAGAATATCCATGCATGAATCCAACTGTCCATTTCTCTAAAAAAACAAATTTTAACATAAAGTAACGGCAACTAAAAAGACTGCAATAGACAAGTTTTACTCATATAAAAATGATTCCTTCACAAACATTTTAATAGGGATAATGCAAAGGTGTGCAATACATTAATGTTATCGTGCACTAGTCAGAGTACACATTTGCTAAACCATGATGTATCATTTTTCAGGCGTTTGTTTTTTATCTAGGGTGGGTTTTTTCCATGTCTTCTGTTTTAAGAGTCAACTACCCAGGGACAGGGATTATCTTAAATTGTAAGACTTGGCAAGATGCAAGTACTACAGGGGTATGAGGTGCTACCTCAATGCTAATAATTAGCAGAGGTGTCAGTGAAGTGCATTGCCACCACCTGGCTATTAGGAAGGAAAGAAGAAAGGCAGCACAGAAACTTCAGCACTTAAAAGGGCAAAAGGGTTTGCTTTAAAACAAACAAACAAACAAACAAGAAGGTTTTCACAGAGCCTACACAGATTAACACACTGGGACACAATTTTGCCAGGGATTCATGTTATATTCCACTGGCTCTAGGGAACGCGGAGCTACCAATACTGTTTATCTGCCTCTCAAAATTACAGAAGCTTGAAGTCCACAAGCTTTTCTTGACATGTTCAGGTGAACCCTGTAAATAACTGCAAGGTCACGGCATTTGTATCATGCTCTGCAGCTGTAGAGGAAGAGATGTGCACATCAAGAATATTTATATTTAATTTTTAAATGTTGTTTCTAATTATCCTTACAGCAAGCTATGTCTGTATGGCAGTTATACAGCTCTAGCCAAACCCAGATAGTTAAACAGAGTTACTGACGATACAAAGTTGTATTTTATCTTTTTGATCAAACCATTCCAGCTCACAGCAGTAGGATACAAAAAATTGTTATTAAGCTTCTATTAAGAACAAAACCTCAACAGAGCCAAATTAAAGACTTCCTATTATAAACAAAGTATTCCTGTATTACATAAAAATGTATCCTAAGAAAAAAGTGTTTCTTTTTATTTTGGCATAGTTTCTTTTAAAAACCATTTATTAAAAATACCCACCAGTGACCTGCTGCCCTCGGAACTAGAAGGCAGCATGTCACAAAACAAGTCTGTACAGTTATTTACATTGGTTCACAGCTCAGACTGCTCCATTTTCAATGATGGATCCATTAACTGGAGGCTCAACAATCAGTCTTGGCTCTATCAGTGCATCCCAACTTTCAGTTATCTGAAAAAAAACCCCAGAAAGAGTCCTTAGCATGTACAAGCTATACGGGCAGAGGCAATTTCTCCTACATTATGCTTTGTCTAGGCTTGAACAGCAGCACTACTGAACAAAGGCCACAGATCCTGCCTGTGATTCATCAATCTTGATGAACCTCAACCTGCCTCAACGTCCTGGGTAAGGAAAGATGCAGGTAAGAAAGACAGTGCATGAAATGGATAACCGTGCAAGAACAGATACTCTATCTAGACATCATATTGTTTATTACCCAAAACAAAAAGTTACACGGTTTGATGACTGTTTTTGAACCTGGTTAACTGAATAACATGCAAGAGGTGATTCTTGTAATCATGCAAATTCTTGCTAGAAGCAACTATTATTTTTGCTTCCATTTATTTTAATCAGATGCATTATTATAAAGGGAGTCTCACTGAGATGAACAGAGTCATAAAGCAGGGCATGTATCAGTTGTGCAAAAGCTGTAACAGGCTTCAGAACAGGACACCCACATACCTTTGTATCCTGAGGAACAGCGTACTCTATCAGTTCTGCTCCATCTGCAGACTGGTAAACCAGATCGAATTTCCCTGGCTCTTTAGCAACTTACAAAACAAACAAACAACTCCATTAACTATAAACAAAACAGTTTAAATGTCTACCGTATTTAGAAAGCTAATCAAAACCAGTTGTAGGTTGTTTTGGTTTTGTTTGGGTTTTTTTTCTTTTACACTTTTTGTTTGAGTTGGGTGTTTGGGCTCATAATTGTAACAAAAAAATCTGAGGTAGAACTGAATACTACACACCAAAATTAAGGCAATTATCTAATATGACTACAGGCATTAAAAAGTTAATCAACAATGTGCTGCCTAGATTTAAGAAAAATGCTCATGTGATGATCATTCATTAATTCTGGATTAAATGGCAACTGCAGTATACACATTCAGTTTCAGAAACATTCATAGTTTCAGGTCTCTGAAGTGCACTTCGCCATTGCAGGGACTCAGTTCTTCGTCCACTGATGACAACAGCATCACTGACGTCGCAAAGAATGGCATTATGATCTAAAATCTTCTCTGTAATTTGGTATCATGATTCAAATTTTTTTCAGGAAATGAAACCACAGTAGCGATGAGTTACTGACCACTCATACTGACCGGACAAATTTCATTTTGTAAATACCTATGAGCATCCTCAATACAAATAGCAAGTGTTCCAACTTCTCCATTTAAATGAGACTTTTTGGGGAGGGAGTGAGGGAAGAAGGGGTGTGTTGAAAAGGAACCCAAGCAAATTGGAAATACTCCTGAAACATGAAGTGTGCCTTGGACTAGCTGTTTTCCAAGTGATGCGCATAACAAGCATTTAGTGTCCCAGGGTATGTACCTTGTCCTGCTGGCGATGAAAGGATCTCAAGCTCAATCTGTTTTTTATCAGCATTCCAACTGATTATTTTTCCCTCCTTCATAAAGAAACAAGAAAAGAATCTGGTAAGATACTCTTCAGCACTGGATAACTATTCCATATTTACAACCACTGTGGTACTTGATCACAGTTAGAAGTACTGTCTACTGTACTGTCAGATTTTTCTCTTTCTATGTATAAAATCTGCAAAGTATTAAAGCTCAGCAGTCTGCAGTTACTGGCATCAATAAGCCAAAGTTATTCATTGTCAGTGTCTTTGTAGTTTATCCAGAAACCAAGTTATCTGAAGTAGCTACAAAAATTTACTTGCACCCATTTCAAGAATTTTGAAAAAGCCTTTGACAGCGTCTCCCACAGCAT